TAATGCTGTTTTTCGTCTTTGTTCAATCTATAGCAATCACCAAGCCCAAGCCAAGATATTGCATACAAGTTTGCTTCAATGGGACAGCTGAAGCATCTGTTAAGTAGCGGATTCTGGCAGCAGAGGAGTTCTCATGGGGTATTGAAATGGGTCCAGGCCTCAGACGCTGTGCGCAGCTTTCTGAAAGATGTTCCAATTATTCAACGCCACTTGGGCTGGGTACTACACACCAATCCACAGCATGGTAAGTAACTTTGACATGAGATCCGTTCATACCTTATTCAGCTTCTTGACAGGAAAAGTGACCTTAAAATCTTGCGCTAGAGCAATCCCAACACTCTGGACTGACACCAGAGCAGCTGTAGCAAGTATTGAGGCTCCACCACCCAATATCGTGTGGTTGACTGGTGATTCCCCAATGGTCATTGTTCAAACTGGTGGTAGCTGCACTATTGGATCATGGGTCTTTGCTCAAACTGAAGAAGTACACCTCCATTCATCATTCTGCTGCAACCAATGCTGATTTATTCATCCTCAGAATGAACAAGTCATTGGTCGGATCACTGAAATTCTTCTGCGGGGAAATTCCTGAGCTTCACAAGGCATCATCACTCTCGAGAAGTTTTAGCTTGGGGCCAATTTACATGAAGACTTTCTGTGTCCCATTCTGCGCCAATGTATACCAAATGCTTTTGCAGCTGTGAGATCGACGGTACAGTGTTTCTAAATCAATACAATACTCAACACTCATTTCTTTTTAGGCCATTAAATTCTGTTTTTTGGCCCAGCATGACTGTCGGCTAGCCAAATGTCAGCCCAACGCTGCAGGCTTCAGATACAAAATCGGCAGATCACTGAATGGACACAGCTGTTGTTGAACCATGCGAATGATGATAACTTCGTTATCAATATGTATGGGCTTCATAATGCAATGATCCTTTGTGAAGCTCTCCCTCAACATCTCTGGAAGCCAGCTCCACTCTATGAAAACCGAAGGGCAAAGCATGACGAGATTGTTGAGGTATTAGTGGTCACTCAAGCTGCAAAGCGAGCACAGACTCAAGAGAAAACTCGAGCTACAAAGGAGCGCAATAAGGCTGCAAAGAACAGGGAGACTGGGCCCGAACAGAGCACTAATGGGAATCTTGAGAGCGAGGAAGGAGTGGCAAATGCACAGAGACGTCGAATATGAAATACATCATCCGTTACCTCAGATAATGCTCATACCCAACTTCAAGATTGAGATTCATATGATGATTAGGCTGAACGTGAATTTGAGCTTGCTTGAGACCTCAATGGACTGATAGAATCAATGAAAACAATAGAACTCTGGATAATATTATTCTGTAATCAAACAGATGTCAAACTGATAACTAAGGCAAATGTCTTCTTTCCATTCCCTATACAACATCTATGTGTGGTCAGGACTGGTTTGCGGTGTAGTACTTAGCTCAAGCGCACCAAGCGAAGAGGTATCAGAATGGATCTTTCTGTACTATTACCACCATTCTAAACTATTTCTTTCTTACACATTTTGGATTCTGATATGCTACCTTGATAAACAAGCACTCGCACCAGGTCTGCTTTTTTAAAAAAAAAAAAAAAAAAAAGGTGCCATGCGGGCATGTCAAAGGTCAGATAGTACCGGTGGCAAGAGATTAATCAAGAAATTCATGAAGAGCATCGAGCTCTTTGGAGAAGGGTAAATTTGTCCGATAGGTGACTGAGCACCTTCTTCCAGATCTGTTACGACCATGCCAAGTTCAACTCCCGCAGTCCCGACGATCATTTTACGGTATTTGACTTCACTATTTTCTTCCATCGCAGAGTTTGTCTCCGCGATCTTTTACACTTCAAGTTATATCCCTCACACCTTAACCGAATCTTTATATATCCTTTTATATCATTCCCTTTATACTTACCCCTTTTATCTTCCACATGTTCGACCATACTATTCTAGGATACTATTGCTTAGCAACCCTTAGGTAGCGACTACAGTATAAAGCTACAAGAGTAGAATAGTTGGTCCTTAGTTTAAATATCGACTTTGATAGCGCACTTCGACAGTGTATTTCAAATAGAGTTAAATCTCAAACCTCACCTTAAGTACGATCACGTGAGTTTCTCCCACGATCGGAATTACCCTCAACTTCGCTTTCGGACAGCGGCGTGTCGGGGATGCTATTAATAGTAGCGTCAACGTCTGACTACCTCTCCGTAGGTCCACTCTACCCTCACCGGGATTTATCTCGGTGTTCGGTCTTTTACCCCGCGGGATTATAGTCCGCGATCCAACTTATCCCTACGACCCGTGCATGATCATAACAAGATCGATCTTCAGGTTGTAAGGGTGATGTTTGTTGCGACAATGGGAAGTGACCAAAAGCACAGCACAAGCACAAACCTGAGTGCAAGTAACGCTCAACACACAAAGGCAGAAAGGAAAAGTAATCTCAGCAACTGTGATAGCACAAATGGCCAATCACAAGGGTCAAATAAGGCAAGCTAGTTCCCAAAGACCAAGTCAATATCGAGTGTAAATGAAGATACAAACATGAACCTAGTTCCCAAAGACCAAGAGGTCAAGATAGGGAACTGGTAGCTGTCTACTGTACTATATATACGGGTCTGAAACAATAGGAACCAGGGTAAAGGGACAAGGGTAAAAGAACAAGGAACAAAGAACAAGAGCGCAAGAGTGGAATAGTGAGGAACGAATGAGGAACAAGGAAAGAACAATAAACTAATGACAGCGCGAGAGTGAGTGGTCAGATGAACAATGAGTAATGAACATGGTCATGTGGTTACTAGAGCATGTGAAAAAGAAAGAAAATGATGTAAGTACTTAGTTGTCACGACAATGTTCAGGGAAGACTTTGTTATGATCATGCATGGTCGTAGGGAATAGTTGGATCGCGGACTATAAGTCCGCGGGGTAAAAGACTGATCACCGAGATAAGTCCCGGTGAGGGTGGAGTGAACCTACGGAGAGGTCATCGGATGTTGACGCTACTATTAATAGCGTCCCCGACACGCCGCTGTCCGAAAGCGAAGTTGAGGGTAATTCCGATCGCGGGAGAAACTCACGTGTTTGTACTTAGGGTGAGGTTTGAGATTTAACTCTATTCGAAATACACTGTTGAAGTGCACTATCAAAGTTGATATTTAAACTAAGGACCAACTATTCTACTCCCGTAGCTTTATACTGTAGTCGCTACCTAAGGGTCGCTAAGCGATAGTTATCCTAGAATAGTATGGTCGAACATGTGGAGAATAAAAGGGGAAAGTATAAAGGAAATGATATAAAAGGATATATGGGAAGTCGGCTAAGTGTGAGGGATATAAAAGCAAAGTGTAAAAGGATCGCGGAGGTAAGCTCTGCGACGGAAGAAAATAGTAAAGTCAAAATACCGGGGAATGATCGTCGGGCCCGCGGGAGTTGAACTTGGCATGGTCATAACAGACTTCGAAGTCATTGACATTGAAGAGATTCAAAAAAGTCTTGGTATTGAAATGAAATGTGTAGGAGAGTGGTTGAGCCTTGTACAATCTCCGTTTAATGGGAGATGAGTTCCGCTTAATGGAACAAGGTATTGGATTGAGGTGATCCAATGATTCAAAAAGGTTCTTCTTCAGAGACCACAGCAGGGTCAGTCAAAGGAGAAGACATCAATGATTTGGGATGGTCAGTATTTCGGAAAGTAAGTGTTTTCAATGCCCAGTTAATCAATGGATTCTAGCAGGAACAAAAACTATAACCTAAAACAGCTTTGCATGAGGAATCCAAAGGGTGACATAAAAGTCAAAAGGTACAAAAGCTCACCGGATGAGAGTTGGATCTGTAGTAAACAAGTTTTGGAGATTGGTTTCATGGCCAACAAGCCATCAAAGAGTCAAAGATTGATTGGAGTGGAATTGTAAGGAATGTGTATAGATAAGGATATCATAAAGGGTTTGGCATGTTTCGAAAGACCAGATTATTGAGAACAGCTACCCCATTGATAGTACACACCAGTCGACACAGCTCTCACTTTGTCCTGGAGTCCCATAGCTGCAGACTATGTTTCCAAGCCTGCCAGTGGAGAGAGGCTGTTGGAATCAATGGAGGTCGCAGATCCAGGTGGAGGGGTGTGAGGTTGATCCGCTCAGCTCAGCCAGTTCAAGAAGCCACAAGAAAAGGAAAAAGGAATTAGTTCAGCGTAGAGAGTGTAGTTTTAATACATATACTGTTAGGAGCATGCAAGTCCCGTGGACCTTTGATACTGCTATTGACAATATCCTCGCTACGCTGCGCGGCCCGTGTTGAGTTCATTCAAGATTGATGGGGTTGAACAAGGCTGAAGACATACAGGGCAAGTCAAGTATGATATTAGAGTTGTACCACCAATTCAATATTAAAACTAAGGTTTCTTCTACCTACGACCACATACTGTACCTTATATACAAATATACAAAGTCTGCTATCTCCCATGTCACTACAGAATATCCAAAAGTAGATACGACAAATCAGAAGTAGAGATAACAAGTGCAGATAGGAAGACAGTGGACTAATTAGGAAAGGGAGGGTGGTATGGTACATAGCATAGCCGTCTGAAGGGAGTGGCAATGGGATAAGGAGGATAGGTGGATAGGCATCATAGAAGCAACTACTGTGATCGATCTATAATATCATTGATATGTTGTATTGATGGTAGCATCGACAATGATCATAATGCATTCTGTTTGAAGCATTCCATTTGATTTTGATGAGTGATGTGAGCTCAATACGAAGTGTTCTGTGTGATGTGATGACTGGTGCGCATGATCGTAACATAACGGACAAGTAAACAAGTGAAAGTAGAGAGATTTGGTTTTTTGATAAAAGGGATGTATTCGTGTTTCTCTTTCTGCACTCGAAAAAGAAACAAAAAAAACAAGGAAAACAAAGAAAAACAGAAAAACCAAGAAAAAAAATAAGACCAAAAACACAAAAGAAAGAAAACAAAAGAAGACCAAATAAATGACCACCGCAGGGGTCGAACCTGCAATCTCCTGATTCGCAATTCGTAGTCAGACGCGATGCCATTTCGCCAGGCGGCCTATACCATCCTTCAGCTTACCCACGCAACTTAACTTCCACTCCATATAAGAAATTTCTTGACAATTCACTTGGTTCTCGGTTTTCTTTGATTTCGTTGAATTCGTTGACGTTGATTTCGTTGATTTTATCGATTACTTCAATTTTCAAGAACCAAAATCCGAGATCCAAGAACCAAGAACCGAGAGCTCGAGAGCCCAAAACCCAAGAGAAAGTTCCACAATTTTTATTTCACTGTTTCGGAGCGCTTGGACCGCTTGTGCGTCCCGGGACCCGGGCCTGTGACACGTGATCCGTGACCGTTTCTCATCTCTCCCCCTCCATCTCCTCATCTCTCTCCTCCCATCCTATCCCATCCCATACCAACACCACCCGCGTACTCAACCCCACACCCACCTCCCCCAAAACACCCAATCCCAAAAACCATGGTCCGAAAACTCAAACACCACGAACGAAAGCTTCTCAAAAAAGTTGATTTTCTAAATGTGCGTTGTTGTTTTCTTCTTCCTTTCGTCTCCCACCCTCCCTCTCCTACTCCTCCTCCCCACTCACTCTCTCACCCACTCACCCACCCTCACGCCTCTCTCTATCCCTCTCCTAGTGGAAACAAGACTCCAACCTCCGTCAAATCAAAGTAATGCGCCGATATCATATCCAAAACAGGGAGGATTATCAAAAGTATGTGGGTTTTTTCCTCTTTCCTTTTTTCCTTTTCCTACTTCCTTTTTCGTTCCTTTTTCGTTCGTTCGTTCGTTCGTCCCTTCTTTCCTTTCTCGTTCGTTCCTCGTTCTGACTCTGACTCCAACTCCAACTCCCCCTTCCCACACACAGATACAACACCCTAATCGGGCACCTCCAAACCCTAATCACCCACCTCTCCCACCTCCCTCCTCTCTCCCCCTTCCGCACCCACCTCGAATCCCAAATCCTCTCCAAACTATACGATGTCGGCGTTCTCCCTTCTTCCTCTCCTTCTTCCCCTTCATCAGGTACCGGTACCGGAGGAGGTGGAGGAGGCTCCGCCAAGCTCTCAGACGTGCGCAAACTCACCGTCTCCGCGTTTTGTAGACGCCGATTGGGGGTCGTGATGTGCCGAAGGGGGGAGGGGGGTTGGGGATGGCGGAGAGTGTGGGTTCTGCGACGAGGTTTGTGGAACAGGGACATGTGAGGGTTGGGACGGAGGTGGTTAGGGATCCGGCGTATTTGGTTACTAGGTGTGTTAGGGGGTTTTTTTTTTGGGTGTTGGGTTTTTCTTTTGGGTGTTGGTGTTGGAGTTGACGCTGACTCGGTCTTGTTTTTTTGATAGAAGGATGGAAGACTTTGTTACGTGGGTAGACACGTCCAAGTTGAAGAGGACGGTTATGAGATATAACGATGAGGTGCGTTTTGTTCAAAATCTTATCTTACTTTATCTTACTATCCTATCCTATTTTACAGCTGGACGACTTTGATTTACTCTAACCACCACCCACGACTCATCAAGTCAACATCCCTTTAACCCAATATCCCAATATTCCAATATCCCATCAAACCAGAACCCAAACCAGGTACATACAACCCGCTATCCCTCGATGGAACGAGTCCAATCCCGGTCATTGTCGTTAGTGAGCTTGATACGAGAAACGAAGCGAGCGCGAAAACCAAAAACCGAAAAGCGAAAATCGGGCGAGCGGAGAGAGTGATACGAGAAAAGAGTAATGCGAAGAGGGAAGAGCGAAAAGAGAAGAGGTATATAGATGTAGAACCACAAAATCAAAATTCCATAATTCCACCATGACTGATCAGTGATAACTGATAACTGATAACTATAAGTGGTTGATAAAATTATTAATAATAAAATCATCGCTGAAACGCCCAACCACCCAACTCTGAACACCCAACCACCCAACAACGTTCAATCCCGATGGTGGACCTTTTACACTGTACAGCCTTTTACACAGGCTGGATCTGCGTGGTACCTTCCCGGGTCCTTTCCGTGTCTTTTCCGGTCCTCCCCGAGTATACAACATCCCAACGTCTCATCTTCCCAACGTCCCATCCTCCCATCCTCCCAACGTCCCAACGTCCCCGACGCGTTTCATCCTTCCTCCTTCAACTTCAGCGTTCAGCGTTCAACGTTCAACGTTCAACGTTCATCCTTCAACCTCAAACGTCCTAACTTCCTAACGTCCCAACGTTCAGCGTTTGAGCATTTACAGCTCATGTTTCGAGCTAAGCCCTGCTAAGCCCAAGCCAAGTTGAGCTAATTGTCTCTTGTCTTGTCCCCTGTCTCTTGTCTCTTGTCAACGTCAACGTCAACGTCAACGTCTATCAAATCAATCATAAATCCAACAGATCATTATCACTTCCCTGCTATTCCCTGCTATTCCCTGATATTTGCTATTCCGTGTCTTTTGCGAGACGAAACGAGAGGAAACGACCAATAGACTAAACGAGACGAAGGGAGACGAAGGGAGATGTGGATGAGAGCGATGGGGCGATGGGGGACCTAATACCTAACAGGATCTAATAACGTCTAACGCCCATCGGATGGGACAACTCACAAATCACAAATCAAAAATCACTAGCGATTACTAGGGATCACTACTGTCTACTACACAACTTGACAAATTGACAACCGGAAGTAAGTAAACACCTCGATACCCCTCCTCTCTTCTCTCCCTCGTCCACGTCCACGTCCACGTCCCCATCCCATCCCATCCCATCCCATCCCAATCCCAATCCCCCAAGTTTCACTAATGCAAAACCAAATGCAAAGCCCACAAAGCCCACAAAGCACCCAAAGCACCCTAAGCGCACCGTCGAACCCAAACCCGATGAAACCAAACCCGATAAAAACAAACCCAGACCGTAGACTCCTCCCACCGGGATGGAAAGAGACATATAACGCACAGTGCGTGTTTCTGTTATTTGTTCAATCGTTAAATCGTTAATCGTTAATCGTCAAATCGTTAATCGTCAATCAGGAAAGATACATGGTGAGTCCCTTCCCTCCCTTCCCTCTCTCATTCATTCCTAATCCCTTTCCTCATTCCCAATCCCTTTCCTAAAACCCTAATCCTAATCCTTCCCCTTTCTCACCTCCCCTTCCTCAGGTACTACACCCAAACAACCACCTCCCCCCCTCGCGTATCGTATTTCCATCCCTCGGTTGAGTATTATTCTGGGTATCGGAGTGGGGGTCCAGGAGGTGGAAGTGGGAGTGGGAGTGGGGTTGGGGAGCCAGGAGGTGGTGGAAGTGGAAGTGGTGTTGGGAGTGGTGTTGAGAGTGGTGTTGGGGGTGGTGGAAGTGGATATGGTGAGGATCCTATGGGTAGAAGTGCAAGGGAGAAAGAAAAGGAGGGTGGGAGGAATAGTAACTCACCCCCATCCCTATCCCAAACTCAATCCCAAACTCAATCCCGAACTCAATCCCAATCCCAAGTCCAAGTTCAAATCCCAGCCTCATCAAAGTCCTCTTCGAAATCCTCTTCGAACCCAGCGAATCCACCGAACCCACATATCGCTCAAACCCAAATCCCCTCCCAGGTCTCTTCCTCTTCCTCTTCCCCTTCCTCTTTCTCCCCTTATCCCTCTTCCTCTTCCCCATACACCGCATCTCCATCCGATTTCAACTCACCAGCACCACCACGGTATTCCGTTTATTCCCCTTCCCCTTCGCCTTTGTCCTTTTCCTCTTCGTCTTCTTCGTCGTCGTCGTTGTCGACGTTTGCCTCGTCGTCGTCGTCGTCGTTGTCGACATCGACGTTAACGGACCATACCCCGAACTCGAACCAGTCCCCAAACCTAAACTCAAACCCAAACACCTCATCCTCATCCCCATCCCTCGCCCCTGCAGGACCTGCAGAACCTGCAGAACCTGCAGAACCTGCAGAACTCCAAGGGCCTCCAGAATACACCAACACCCCTACCTGGGTCGAACAGTCTTCGGGGGTGAATCCCACTCTCACTCCTCCTACTCCTCCTGCTTCTATCGTTACTTCTACCTCTACTCCTTATCCCAAACCTCCTCCCCCGCCGAACACCAACACCAACACCAACACCAACACCAACACCAACACCAACACCAACACCAACACCAACACTCCTCCCAACCCTCTCAACACCCCACAAACCCCACACAACCCACAAACCCGGATACCCAACCACCCCACGAGTCTCCCCACGAGTCTCCCCGCGAGTCTCCCTAGTCACGGTGTCCACAGTGTCCACAGCGTCCACGGACACAGAACGACAACGAGTAGTGAAGGAGTGAAGGGAATGACGTTGGCGCAGAGGTTGTACGCGAGTGCTTTTGTTACTCCTCCTTCTTCGTCTGCTTCGCGTCCTCCTCTTCCCACTACTCCCAATACCAATACCAATACCAACTCCATCCACAATACCAATCCCAACGTCAATCCCAACGTCAATCCCAGCCACAATCCTCTCCCTACCCCTCCTACCCCTCTCACCCCTCTCACCCCTCGATAATCTCATCCGCGGCTGTCTCCGCTGAGGCTTATCACCATAACCTCAACCACAACCTCAATTCCAAGTTCAGCCTCGATAACTCTAGCACCATCACCCTCGGGAATAAGTCAGGAACAGGGACAGGGAATAGGTTAGGAACCGACACCCGCAGACACTCTGAATCACTGGAATCGTTTTATAAAACCGGGGTGTTGCAGAGTTTGCAACAACAGCAACAGCAACAACGACCACAACAACGGCCACAACAACAATTTCGACCACAGGTGCATATCGGGACGGGTACAGGGACTGGGACCGGGTCGTACCGAATCCCGAATACCCTTGTGAGACCGCAGGCTCAGAAGATACATAGGATTAATGAGATCAATGAGATCGGGTATGGGGGTTCGACGACGACGACGACGACGACGACTGCGACGACCGCGACGACGACCGGGGGTTATTCGACGAGTGGTTATTCGACCGGGGGTTCTTTGACCGGGGGTGTCACTGGTGGATTAGGTGGCCTAGGCGGGATTGGTTCAGGAGGTGG